TTTTGGCCAGTGCATTTTGGGGTTTCTGTGTGGGATTGCATCAGATTTGACTTTTCTTCTCTGGGGTTTTTTTTGTACATATTGTTCCAACGCAAACCAAAGAAATGAACATGTGAGTACTAAAACATTTGCAACTGCAACAATTTTCTGAGAGAAGGGTTGCATTTTCTGACAGAATTGCAAGGGTGCCAATATTTTTGGCCATGACTGTATAGGTTTAGTTGTTGTTGTTGTTGTATTAACACATTGCTTGGAATGAAAATGGTGATTTTCTGCTCCCAGTCAAGGTTGTTGTTGTTTTCATTAAATTCACATACCGTGTTTCCCTAAAAATAAGACAAGGTCTTATACAGTGGTGCCCCGCATAACGATGATAATCCGTTTAGCGAAATCATTGTCATGTGAAATGTGATTCCCCATTGGAATGCATTGAAACCCGTTTAATGCATTCCAATGGGGAAAATAGTCATCATCCAGCGAAGATCGCCCATAGGGAAGCCATTATGTGAGCGCAGATCAGCTGTTAAAATGGCTGTCCTGCAAAGCATGCGTCCCGAAAACACAGGGCAGCCATTTTGCTGAGCCGCCGATCAGCTGTAAAAATTGTCGTCTTGCGAACAAACGGTCCACGAAGCATGGACCAAATCACCATCCAGCGAAAATCCCCCATAAGAATGACTCATCGTCATGCGGATTCGTCGTTTTATGAGATTGTCGTCTAGTAAGGTACCACTGTATTAATGTTTGCTCCAAAAACACATTAGGGCTTATTTTCAGGAGATTTTTTTTTATGTACAACAATCCACATTTATTCAAATAAAGTCATGTCTTCTTCTTCTGGTTGCTGCACAATGGTGGAGGGCAGGGTTTCACTTAACTGGGGATTATTTTTGGGATAGGGCTTATATTACGAGCATCCTGAAAAATCCTACTAGGGCTTATTTTCAGGTTAGGGCTTATTTCAGGAAAACAGGGTAGTACACAAGAGTTATCTGATGCTTCAAGTTAACAATGCTTATACATTCACCAAGAAATGTGCTTCAGTTGTGGATTTTAGTTTTATCTCTTAGCTACCTTAAAAATAAGCCAAACTAAAATTATTAACATGATAACCAAAGTTAAAATTCCTACATGTCAAAATAATTTTGCAGACCAAAACTTGTATCTGTGAAGCAAACTTACCAGTATCCTGATCTACAGCCTGGTGATGAAGATGCTCTTTCCAGGGAACCTTTTGTTGTCTGGTTCTATTCTCCAAAAACTGGTATGTGTGTACATAATTATAGAGGCTTGTTACATTTATAATGGAGCAGCTCTCTATATACCCTATTTTTACTGTGAGTTATCGGAAAAGAGGCATGAAAGCACCTGTTTCTCATGTCCTGCTTAAATGCAAATACTCTTGTTAAAGAACCATGTGGGGCAGTGCCCAGCCTTTTCTGCCCAACGGTCAAAGGCTTCCTGCCCCTGCACCAAGGTCAGGGCAGACTCTTCCACTTTCCGTGCAGGGAAAAAGGAGCTGCTGGAGCTGCCCCCTCCCCACCAAAAACAATGCCATCAGCCAGCCAGGGCCAAGGTGGCTAGGAAGCCTCCACAGGTGGCGAAGCCATTCCTGCCTCAAGAGAAGCTCCAACAGCTCCATTTTTGCCTCGTGTGAGCCCTCAGCCCTCTGCGGGGAAACCTCCTGGCCCTGGCCATGTGGGATTGGAGGCCTTAGTGCCTCCCTTTCAAAATGGCACCCATGCACCTTTTTTTAAAAAAAACTGCACCAGGGCTTGCATCGTACAAAATGGCAGAAGCTGCTATGAAGTAACTTTGGTCCTTTCTGTAAGTGTTTTTACAGCCTTTCCTTCAAGAAGCTCGAGGCAGCTTTTAAGGATTTCCTATTTGTTTTTATCCTCAGAGACCATGTGAGGGTAGGTCGGGCTGAGTGGCTCAAGCTTACCCAGTGAGGTTTAGGAGTTAGAAGGGATTTCAACTAAGGTCTTCCTTAGTCTGTGTGCCACACTGGCTCTGATCCTACTAAGAGCCAGTATTTTCCCTCCCAAAGTTAATGTAAATGGGTTAGATGCTTGAGGCCACTAATAGTTAACAAAACATATTAAGGCCTTTCTGCTTTTCCCTTTAAAGGAAGGTGGGCGAACGAGGCTTGCTTGAGATGTCTATGCCATATGGATGCAAGAATTGTACCAAATGGCATACCGCGCCTCTATGTGACCTTCAGCAACCCTATCCAGTTGAGCCATCTAGCCCAATCCTTTGTCACATTGTCTGGGACACTTCGATCCCAGTTTGGCTCTACAACTTACTCTATAGGTATTTGTAGAATTGTGGGGGTTACTCATAATTATTGCTAGTTGTATGCCAGTTGGGGCACTAGGGTTTTGAACCTCAAATAAGCCAGATTCAAACACTCTGAGTAGTTTATTCTGTGATCTCTTGACTTCAGTGTCTCCTAAGGTTTGAAGACAAACAAGGAAAGGCGAATCTTAGCTTTAAGATCTTGTATTCCTTGCATAAGCCATAACCATGATTAATTTGTCAGTTTCTTTAATTTCAATAGAAGGATGGGAGAAATACTGATAATCTTTGTATATACATTTACTCATTAAGTGGCCAAGGAATTTGTGATAATTCCTCTGCATACAACACCAGAAATGGCTGTGCGGGAAATTGATGAACTTTATGATGTGTACTTAAATGTAAGACAGCGCTGGACATCTGAGGTTAGTCGGTGTTACCTTGGCATGTTCGTACTTTCTCTGAATGAAGTCCTAAAATCTGGTACAATCAGGTCATACAAGGTTGGCGTTACTATAGGACGTTACTGTAATAACAATGACATGCCATCAAGCTGATTCCAACCATTTCCAGCATTATCTGGGTATTGAGTACTCTCAGATGTGGTTTGCCTTTCCCTCTAGGACAGTGGCTCCCAAGCTCAGGCCTCCAGATGTACTTGGACTACAACTCCCGGAAGCCTTCACCAACACCTCTGCTGGCCAGGATTTCTGGGAGTTGAAGTTCAAGAACATGTGGAGGCCCAAGGTTGGGGATGGCTGCTCTAGGACCATGTAGCTTTTCCCAAGACCACACAGGGTAGCTCTTCTCCCACGAGGCAAAGTGGGGAATCAAATTGCCTTAAGATATAAAGGACTTGTTTCCCCACCCTTGTCTCTCATGTGTATACACAGAGAGGGGGGGGGGAAGGAGAGAGAAAGAGAAAGAGAGAGAGAGAGAGAGAGAGAGATTGAAAAAGTGTTACTTTTCTGAACTACAGTTCCCAAAATCCCCTAGTCAGCAAAAGTGATGAGGACACACACATCTCCCTTGGCGCTTTCTTCTATTTCAATTGTCTGCTGTACCCCATAGGTCCCTCTTTGCACTTGCCAATCCACAGAGGCAATTGGAGTCTATGTTTGGAATCGAGAGAGAAAATCCTCAGGGGCCTTGTGAGCAAGTCTGAGATCTGGGTGCTCAGTCTAGCATGATAGGGTGACCACAGTTCTCGCAACCCAGGCCCAAGTATAGGATTCCTTTGTTCATCCCTTTCAACCCCAACAGCAGCAACCCCAATAATAAAAAAACAGGTGAATAAAAATAGGCGTATATCTCCAACTTAATTCTTTATTTAAGCAATCCTGTTTTATCAGAGATGTCTTAACCATCTCACCTCACAGAATTTCATTTTCATGGGAGATTTCAATGCTGGCTGTGGCTACGTTGCACGGAAACGCTGGAAGAACATCAGGCTAAGGAATCAGACGGAATTTGTTTGGCTTATTGATGACAAAACTGATACAACTGTGAAAGCAAGCACCCATTGTCCCTATGACAGGTAACAACTTGCTGTACAGCTGACTCACTGATATTTCCCCAATCGCCTCTCCGTTATATGCCGCCTAGTACTTACCTCGTTAGGAGGAATTTCCAGAGAAATGGCCATGTTATTCTGCCTCAGCAAAAGAAAAAGGGGGAAAGAGAAATATTGTAGAACATTTAAAAAGATGAACAGCTTTATTTAAGTGTGAGCTTTCATGGATCAAAACCCACTTCTTCAGGCTCAAGAGTAGAAATATAGGTATCTTATATCTAGTCCATGGTGGTGAGATTCATGCCTTGATGAGAATCCAGAACATAGACAAAGTGGGAATGGTTTGTTAACACAGGAATAGGGCTATCAGGCTGTTAACTAGCAGATCGTAGCCATTGTGGCAAGTTAGATAGACCTGGCTGTCACAGAAACTCCAAGTGTTGTATAGGTGCAGATTGGTGAGAGAGCAGGTGCAGGGTGTGAGATTTGTGGTCTTCCCACTGTTGCAGGACTCCCATTGTTCCTCACCACCGGCTGTGTCAGTCAGGGAAATTGAGAGTTCCACTGCAGAAACAGGCCATGAACTTCATGGCCACCAATACTGACTTACAGCCGAGTTCCACTGCAGAAACAGGCCATGAACTGACTTATAGCTACGTACCCCATTGTAAAGGTAAAGGTTCCCCTTGACAATTTGTCCAGTCATGTCTGACTCTAGGGGGCGGTGCTCATCTCCGTTTCCAATCCATAGAGCTAGCGTTTGCCCGAAGACAATCTTCCGTGGTCACGTTACATTACATTGAGTAATTAGGGTGTGTTAGGTCTCTTCACTGGAGAAGCAATTGGTCTGGAGCACTACCAGCTATTAATCCGTGGAAAGCCAACCTGTGAACCAGGAGGAACACGTGGTACAGGTCCTGACTGCTGGAATTTGTGGCATGGTTGGATTGCAGCAGACTTGTTTTATGGAGTGAAATGGGCATCGTTCCAGTGCTTTCTGTTTCTTGGCTTAGTAGGCTGCAGATGAAGCTGCAATCAATCACTGTGGGCTTCATATGGAGTGCAGTATTATGCACTGGAGGCCCAATGTGACACACTGTAATATACTGTACTGTTGTTGTTTAGTCGTTAAGTCGTGTCCGACTCTTCGTGACCCCATGTAATATACTGTTACAAACATTTTATTAGTGTGGTCACTACACTATCCATTGTCTGGGAGGCAAAAGTAGAAGACTTGTCTTATATTTTGAGCAAGCGAGCTGTGCTGCAAAAGGGATGTGGTGGCGCTGAAGCCTGTGCTGCAGGGTCAGAAGACCAGCAGTCGGAAGATCGAATCCATGCGACGGAGTGAGCTCCCGTCACTTTGTCCCAGCTCCTCGCCAACCTAGCAGTTCGAAAGTATGTAAATGCGAGTAGATAAATAGGTACCATCTCGGTGGGAAGGTAAAACGGCGTTCCCTAGTCCCGCTGGCCACATGACAATGGAAAACTGTCTTCAGACAGGCACTGGCTCTATGGCTTGAAAAGCGGGATGAGCGCCGTCCCCTAAAGTCGGACACGACTGGACTGAAAATGGCAAAGGGAACCTTTTCCTTTACCTAGCTGTGCTGCAGCATCAGACTGTGCATTGTCTATCCTGCCCCTATAAGCTGTATTTTGACCTCCATTAACACAGCCAGGATAATCGTGTCTGAGCACAATTGGCTGCATGAAATAATTCCCCCTAATGGCCCAGCCCCCTCTCCTTCTGCCTGTACTTTTACCCTTCCCTTGTTCTAGGACCAGCTGGCGAACAAGGACTTCACCTGACATGAATATACTCCTGAGTCAGAACGCAGCCTCTCTTCCCAGCAGTGTGCATCAGATAATGCCAGGGTGATTAGTGTTAATAGGCAGGTGAGGAGAAAAACAGTACCTGAGGAAACTCTTCTCAAACTTCTCTTTGCACTAAAGTCTGTGCAGACAAGCAGATGGAAAAACGTTTCCAGACGTTGTGCATTAGAATGACCTCTGTCCAGTGAAGAAGCAAAAAGAAGGGGGGGGAAGCATAGTTCTGCTTATATACTGCCCCCATAGTGCTTCAAGCACTCTCTGGGCAGTTTACAAGTGAATTATACAGGCTATACATCCCCCCCTCCCCCGTGCGCTGGGTACTCATTTTACGGACCTCGGAAGGATAAAAGGCTGAGTCAGCCTTGAGCCAGCTACCTGGAATTGAACCCTGGGTTAGGAGCACAGTTTTGGCTGCAGTACAGCAATTTAACCACTGCACCACGAGACTCTCCAAAGCAAAGGTTCCATCCTAAAAACTGTACTGTTTGTTTATTTATTTATTTATTTATTTATTTATTTATTCATTCATTCATTCATTCATTCATTCATTCATTCATTCATTTATGCCCCGCCTATCTGTTCAAAATGACCACTCTAGGCGGCTTCCTCTGTATGTCCCCCATAAGTATAGTGGTTGAGAATGTCTGGCAGAATAGTAACAAACCACCTTCAGCAGATTTTCAATTTGCAGAACTAAGCTGAGGAAAAGCTAAATTTGTTGGTTAGTAAGGTTGGTGGCACTGCGGGTTAAACTGCAGAAGCCTCTGTGCTGCAAGGTCAGAAGACCAGCAGTCGTAAGATCGAATCCACGTGACGGAGTGAGCCCCCGTCGCTTGTCCCAGCTCCTCCTTACCTAGCAGTTCGAAAGTATGCAAATGCAAGTAGATAAATAGGTACCACCTCAGTGGGAAGGTAACGGCGTTCCATGTCTAGTTGCACTGGCCACGTGACCATGGAAACTGTCTATGGACAAACGCTGGCGCAACGACTTGGAAACGGGGATGAGCACCACGCCCTAGAGTTGGACACGACTGGACTAAATGTTAAGGGAACCTTTACCTTAGGTTATGGAACCAATAAATCACAGCAGCAAATTGCTGCCAGTTAACCAGATACCACCCACATTTCTGAGTGTGTACTGGCATCTAACCAAGAATGTAAATGGCAACCCGTTAGCTGGCAGCAATTCACCTCAGGTATTTTCACTGTTGCTTAGTTCCCTCCCTTTCATGGAACCGTGGAGTAAAGAGAATTCAGTAGTTAGCAAGTAAGGCCTTTTTTAATTCTATGGAGCATACAGTACTTCGGAATGCACCTGCTCAGGATCAAGCTGTGTCAGCCTGCCTTCTTGCTGTACAAATGTAAGAGGCAGGGAAGGCATACAGGGAAGGAAGTTTGAAAATGAGTTGGAGGAAAGGACTCGGTATGCTTTGGTTTCTGGGAGGTGAAGAGAGAAGCGGAAAGGAGGAGATTCTGCCACTGTCTGGTCATGATATTGTGGAAGCAGGCCAAGCCCAAGACATTTTCCTGCCTGAGGTGGAGTAGCAAACAGCACTCCTTTAACCAACTCAAAATATGCAGCATTCAAAGCCAGACAATTGATTTCTACATGTGTGACAGAAAATTCCTCATCTGTAGCAGTAAAAATGTACCATCTTTCCATCCCTAGCAATTAAAGTGGAGTAAGAACAGATTAAATAAAATAAAAGTTTTCTGCCCTTAAGCAACACCCAATACGTATCTGCTGACTGAGGTAACGGGCTCTGTTTGCTTATTGGCAAGGCCAGTTCTGTGCAGAAGGGAAGGGAGAAGCCATTGTGTGTGCTGGAATCTGCAAGTCAGAATTTTGGCTTCAGGCCTCTGGTGCCATTTTGCTTTCATCTTTGTGCAAACTTAATCTACACTTCTGAACTGCTAACCTTTTCTTTTTGACAGTAACAGATTTCTTTTGTTAGCGAGCAGATGGCTAACACATTGTGGTCGTTTTTGCCTCTTATTATAGGATTGTGCTCCGTGGAGATAAGCTCATAAATGCCATCGTGCCAAACTCGGCACGTATCTTCAATTTCCAGAGTGCCTTTTCAATGACTGAAGCACAGGTTTGTAACACACGGGAACAGAAGAAATGGACGGCTTTTCTCATCTTAGCCACTATATGTGCCACTGGGCCTGGGTCCCCAGCTGGGCAATGTGAGAAATGGAAAAGCAAATTAAGAGAAGACCAGGTCTAGGAAAAGAGATACAGACTAGTAGCAAACAGGGAAGAATAGGGGACAGATAGATCTGTTAAGCAAAAATTACTCCAAGCTCAGAATATAATCCTTCAGGCAATTCAGAGCCCATCCACATAGGTGTCAACAAGGGAGACTAATGCACATCACATATATAGCCCATTATCCACCATTATCCATGCTCCTGCAGAGGAATGAGGGGCATACATGTGTGGAGCAAGCTGTGTGCTGATGAGAAATAACACCTTTTAGAGCAAGACTGGCAATAACCCAGCACTGGCAGGCCACATTAGCTATTTCCACAACCTAACAGGAGTCACACGTTCAGAATTTGCTGACAACTAGAAATGGGCACAAACTGCCATTCGTTGCTGGTTCGTTCTTTGTCCATGCAGGTGTTCGGTACTTCCTAACCCCACATCCTCCTGTGGGTACCTACTCAGATGCAGAGCCTTGAGAAGGCAGGGCAGGGAAGCTGGGGCACGGCCTCTGAGTAGGCACCCGCAAGAGGATGCAGGCTGGGAAGTGCTGAACATCTGTTCGGTCAAAGAACAAACTGGCATGACTGCCAAACCAGCAGTTTGTGCTCATCTCTACTGACAACTGCAGCAGCTGTCTAGGATATAAGATGGTGTCCTCTCATACCATAGAGACTTGCAGCCTAGTGGGGCAGAGTAGAATGCCTCCTTCCTTCTAGAAGGGAAGGAAGGCAGGGCATATTTTGCAACAGGCATATTTTGGCAGCATTCTTAATGGACATCAACCAGTCGTGGTGGGAAATCGCAAGAATGGAGTTGGTATGAGGTCCAAGGACCATATGTTGACCACGCTTGCATTGGAGTGATCTGTTGCCTGCACAAGCTATTGATGCTTTCATTGTATGACTCAGGAGTACATAATAGACTGCAAACAAAAGCAGGAACAGCTGTATTGACACAAAACACATTCAGAATCCATGTTAAAGTGATACTTCCATTAGACCAACTTAAAAAGGCATAAAAAATATGAAAAGCACCCAGTTTTGCACAGGTTTTTAAGATTTTGGTTGGCCTAATGAAGATAACATCTTAGGAAAGATTTTGAATTCCTTATAGAATGCATCTGATTAAAGTCAAATGAGATTAGGATGGGGAAACCGGAAGTGGCCTGGTTGCAAGATGAGCCGTAAATACATGGTTATACGTTCTCTTTTCCTATATAAGCCTGTTGCTGTGAAACAGCACAAATCACACAGGTTAGTTGTACATCCAAAGTGCAACTGACCACCCCATGTTTCTTTATGTGTTGTGAAGACACCTCTGTCAACTTTCCAGTCTGCTTAATTTGGAGCTTCTACAAACATGCCAGCCATTTATACAGATACCTCAAGGCTGCCCTCAAGTGGAAAGTGTCCGGTAGGGCAGTAGTAATTATCCTGCCCATCCACCCCCCCCCAATTATTCCTCAGTCCCCTCACACAATGCCCCAGAGCTTCCTCTATGACACAGTCCCTCCTGTACCACCTAGACTCGCCTGTTCCCTCTGGAGCAGTATGCGACTAATATATGGGATATCTGGGGTGGGAAATATCTTGTCTGTTGCTTCAGGAAGCTAAACAAATTAGGGCAGCCTTGGGCCACTTTCCTGTCCTTAGAGCAACAGCTCCCCCCAGATGGGCAAGGGAGGCCACCTTTGACCATGACTTTGTCTAACGGTGAAGAGAAGCTATTGAATGCAGGACTGATTTTATGCCTAGCACTTGTGGTATACAGTATTAGAACAGGGACTGAAGTACCTTGTTTCCAATTAAACCATGTCTTGTGCTACATTACTTTACAGGCTTTAGCAGTGAGTGATCACTTTCCAGTAGAAGTCCAGCTGAGAACTGCCAGGCGCTCTTCAACAAGGGCAAGACGTTACAGGCACCTAGTTGTGTAACGCATCCAGTGATATGTCGTTGTACCAAAAAAAACCCCCACAAAACCCCCCACAATTTCTTAAAAGGTACATGCACACAAAAATGGCTGCTTTCACACTGACCTTTTCTTCTTCCACTATGATGTATTTCACAAGATGAAATAAAATAAAAGCTAAAATTAACTGTGCAGTGAGCTGAAGATAAACTCAATGACTGAGTCTAAGAGCCTTGACAGCGCCTGCAGCATTTGCTCAGAATTGTTTTGGGACTTTGTGGTTCTCTCGGTTTTACCCTCTCCAATCAAGACTAGTTTGATGTCAAGAACTCAGAACAAAGCTACCAAATACACTTGGCCACTATTTTTGTCCAAATCTTGTCAACACAAGCAGCTACACATAACTCCTTTGAAATCAGAGAGAGGCTGAGTCTCCAAACGTCACCAAGGCAAAATATAGAATATGGAAACAGTGATCATCACTCCAATTTTATCTAAGATTAGGGTCAATCGTTATTACGAGTGATTAGGAAATGTGTGTGGAATGCTTTACTTTTTCCTTTATGGCAATTCATATTGATAGTCTTGGAGCAAAAGGGAAATAAACAAGAAATACTGTAATTATCTTGACTGAAGATGGGCTGTTAATATGATTGTTGTGGTGTTAAACTAGATTCCATCACAAGCTTAATCTTACTTTCATATTCACAATTTAGTATTGTAGTACATTAAGGCGACAATGAAAATTATTCTCAAGTCAGGTTGATTAGGAAGGCTGGCATAACTTTATTATTTGTTTTTATATGTTTTGTTTTGTTCTGTTTCTTTTCACTGGTTTTCTGAACTCTCTTATTGGATCAATGAATTATCCACAAAGCACCTGCTCTTCCTATGGATTCAGTGCATTCAAAGTGAAAAGAGCAGGTGGAGTCCTCTCTCAGGGTGAAACATGATGCAGTGTGTACATCCCTAGAGGCAGAGCTCACTGAAATACGTCCGTATTTCAATACTTCAGTACTTCCAGTTGTGAGTCAGACCCCACTGAAGAAAGAAAGAAAGAAAGAAAGAAAGAAAGAAAGAAAGAAAGAAAGAAAGAAAGAAAGAAAGAAAGAAAGAAAGACTCACTGATTATGGTCCTTACTAGATCATGAATAAGTTGGTGGGATGATAAGACTAAACCAGGAGATGAGTTCAGTATTAAAGAATAGAAGTCTCTCAGTTTTCAAACTTAGTCCCCCTTCCCACTGAATCTACTACATTACAGTCTGCGTTTAAGCAAATGCCCACAATGGGTTTCACCCAGGTGAACATCATGAGATGTTTATGCATAGTTCAGTGCAGCTTGTTGTCACAAGAGAAGATCTATGGACTGAAGTCCATTATAGCACAGAGCAGGACATCTCTCATTTCTTAATAAACTGGCATGCACAGAACATCTATATCATCACCTTAGAACTGGAAAGGCCCTAAGGATCATCGAGTCCAGCACCCGTCAAGGAGGCACAGTGGGGGACTGAACTTCCATCCTATAAATCAAAGGTGGGTAAAGTGTGCTATTGTTGCTGGACTGCAGTTCCAGGCATTCTTCACTACCAGTTATGTTAGAACTGATGGGAGTTACAGTCGAAACAAATGTAAATTAGTGAATCACTGCAGCCAGGGCAACATTCCGCCTGTCCAGCTCTCCACTGCGATGAGACAAAGGCCATGGCCTCTTGCTCAGGATCTCACTTTTCCTGGAATGTTTGGTTTCCTTCCGAAGTGACAACCACTATGTTATGGAAAGAGTTGGTGTCAGTTCTAAGAACATGTCTGGTTTGGGTGGTGTCAACAAGTTGTAATGCCTGTCTCCCCATCCCATCGCTGTTGTTTTGCCTTTAGTTTTGGGCAATTAAAATTAGAACAGAGTATGGAATTAAGTGTCAGTTCCTGTGTTGTGTTTCCCCAGCAACTTCTTCCATTGTTCTCCAGGCCAACATGTATCCTCCCTTTGGGATTCTCGTCTTACTGTGCTAATCTGTATTTTCCTTTTAAAATAATCATCTTGTTTGTATTCCCCATGCTATGACCTTTCAAAAACATTAACCTGATGAGATAGTCTGGTGGCTTTTGGTGTTCTTTTTAATCTGGTTCCCCAAACTGAATCACTATGTTTGGTTTAGAATCACTGTCATCGGTTTCGTACACAGTTGATCAAATTGGACCAAAAAGCCTGAAGTATATAAATGGAAATTACATATTGATGTTTTGTTATAGGGCAGGAAAGGGAAACAGGAAGAAGGGGAAAGGGCAGAACTAGCTCAGGACTGAACTGAGATTTCCTACGGCATTTTAAATGCCTGCGTTACAGTATTATTTTGAAATTTGGGTGGAAGAGTGGGGAAATGAAAGAAGTGATGTGATATTTCCATATTTCTCTCTTGAGAAGCTAAACATGAGCCCTAAAAGAAGAATGTGGCTGAATGTAAAAGGCAGAAAGTTTGACTGACTAGAACAAAGAGTGGGGATTACTTAAGCAGACTGCAGCTCTGTTCGTATTGGTACAGTGGGGGCTGAATGTAAAAGGCAGAAAGTTTGACTGACTAGGAACAAAGAGTGGGGATTACTTACCATAAGCAGACTGCAGCTCTGTTGGTATTGGTATACTTCCTTTTAGAAGTCCTAGTGATTCTCCCCTTTTGTCACCCCGAAGTCATCATATGCTGCTTCTATAACAAGGCAGCAGTTAAGTACAGTAAAGCTGATTGGTAGAGGTGGGCTGCAGTTCAGCTGATCTACCTTTTAGGGACGAGTTAATCAGCACCAGTCTAGACTAATGACTGGTGATGCATTCCTGCCGTTCATGGTTGTGAACGCCCGGAATTCAATGTAATTTCCTTCAACGTAGGCTTGTTTACAACTGTTACTCAGTGGCCTTCAGGGGCCGTTTCTTTCATTGATGACTACTTATCAATACCCACATACAACAGTGCATAAGGCTATTGACTGCTGCTGGTCATTGTGGTTATGAATAACCACCACTATCAAAAGTCCTAGGCTTCTCAATACCACTTGATGGAGAAAATGAGTGGGAGAGCAGTGTTGCTCCCGTGTCCTGCTTGTGGGCTTTCTCTTAGGGCATCAAGTAAACTCCTCCACCCAGTGATTCAACACGTGGAGAGGTTCACATGAAGAACCTTACTTTCCAATATGTGTGTCCGTCCTTTGGGTGGCCTGTACATCTAACTTAATTTCGAAATAAAATTCCAAAGAAAACAAGAAGTTGGAGAAACTTGTCCAGACACGTTAAGTTGGCTAGAAGCCTTCAGAGAGAGATGAATGAGAATTGCTAGGTCTCAAAGACTGGCTGAAGTCTGCTCTTCTCTGGGTGTCTAGGCTAGGACACAAATTTCAGGGTGAGCAGCGCTGGAGGAGGTGGAAGCCTAATTTCTGTGTGTGAGAGGTGGCACCAACCTCCACCCATGCCCAGCTGGCACCACAGCTCAGTGGGAAGGTGTTTTTTCTGTCTTTTACTCCAAGTGGGCATGAGTGCCTTGCTTCTCTGGCCCCTCTTCCTGCTGCCCTCCCCCTGCTTCCATCTTCTGGTGTACTAATGTTGGGCCCACCATTCCTTTTGAAGCAGGCTTAATTGCAATATCCGCTATACTATAGTCCACAGGCCTTCTTGTGGCACAAGCCCTGACAGCAGTGGCAGCAGCAGTGGCAGCACATAGCCTCAGAAAAATGACCCCCTTCCATCCTTTGTCCTACCTCTGTGACATTGCAAGGGCCCTTGTGTGTGTGTGTTCCTGTGCTCATCCTCTGCATTGTTATTCTGCATCGGTTCAAGTGATCACATACCTGAACATTGAGATTTGGCACAGCATCTCAGTGAACATTTGTTTTGTTCTGTTCCATTTTAAAATATGCATAAAAAGTATTCAGTTGAGGAAAAATGTGCCGCTGAAAATTGATACATATGCCATTGCGGAAATAAGAAAAGAATTAGGTAGGTTGTGTGTATCCATTTACAATGATCTTGAGTGACACGTAACACAATTGATACACATGTTAAGGAGTGTTTGGTTTCCATACATAAATCAAACTGCCCAAACTATGTCAAAAACAACATATTTTGGGCTGGAACCTCCTCTTCCTCATCACCTTTCTCTTTGGGAGGGAGGATTCTGACTGGGAAATTTTGCACTTGAAAAATCAGGGGATGGGATGCTGCTGAGGGGGGCAACCCTAATCCATATCTTTCAGGTTGGGGGGGGGAGACCTATTAGAAATGATTACGTCTCAATAGCTCAGTGAGCAGGTCAATCCCTGATTCAAAACTCATTTCTCTGATACATGTATTCAGGAATCATAGGTGTGCATCATCATGTTCTCGGCCTTAGCCCTCTGAGAAAGTTAAAAGAACAAACAAAATGACAAATCAGAAAGAATTAGGAGAGGGTGGAAAGGACAGAACAGAGGAGACATGGAAACCTGAGAGGGTTACAGAAGAGTTCTTCATTTTCTATATAATCATAAAAAATACAATTACTATACTTCTTACAGAAGAGTTCTTCATTTTTTGAAACCATTGAGTCTTGTCTGCTCTTATAAGTGTGTTGGAAGGAAACTTTGCTCCCTTCATTTGGTGAAGGACCATTGAGTCTTGTCTGCTCTTATAAGTCTGTTGGAAGGAAACTTTGCTCCCTTCGTTTGGTGAAGGGGCAATGTTAACTCCATGGGCTCCACCCCCACAAGGCAGCAGAGCCTCAGGTGGAAATGGGGGGGAAGGGTGTGTGTGTGTGTGATCTCTCCCTTCCATCTCCCCAATCTTCACCCTAATGTTTTCCTCTCCTGCTGCTACCACAGAGATCATCGCCACAAGCTTGCCGTTGTCCTCTGCTGCTGTTGGCCTCTTACGAGTAAGCCAGATGAACTTTGCTCACAAGGAAACTGGTGATGCAAAGATCTGTGCGAATCATTCTCATCTCCAGTGTGAAGGGAAGAGTTGCATTTGAGATAAGACAGATGACACTGAAGATAAGAACTTTTTATGCACAAAGCAGATTGCTCCAAATTCCCCTGTCTGGGCAGTCACAGAGATTTCTTCCTGCTGTACCCAAGAGTGAATTCCCTGAAAGGGCAAGGAAGAGGGAGACGGGGGACTAATCACCAGTTTCCAGAGCAGTTAAATACAAGTTCGGTACTAAGCTGCTGTACTCTTTGACACGAAAGACCAAATAAGCAACATTTCAGAAAGCCTACTTTGACATTTTCTCTTGCAGAAAATCTTTCTCCATGTGTTACACTATTTCTCCCACCAGAGGGAGCATTAATTCTTTCCTACTAGTCTAAAGGGAATATTAATGTACTATATGTATAAAACATTCTTCTGTTTTGATTTATTTGTTAGTCATAATTGCTTTGTCAATTTTTTATTTAGTGAAAATTCTTCTGAGATTTAAATTTAAACTGCATTAAATGTTTCTGCATGTCCTTGTGAGTATGCAACTTTTTTAAAAAAAGTTGATAAAACTACACTCTTACTGCTACGGATGTCCTCTGGAGACTGGCAGGCCAAGCCCAGGATGACAGTCATATTTGCATTAGCCCAATCCTTGGCTGAGCAAATACAGAGGTAG